CAATTTGTCTGTGTTGTGCCACATGAAGGGTAGTGCTTCTGTCTTGTTACTTCCTCCACTGATAATTTGAGGGCGGCTTAATATGGTAATAATTGCTAAAGCTTTTGCATTAAGTTTGACATGTAACATTAGTTTTATGTATTTTTTATAAGCAGTGTGAGCCCAATTTTTTTGCTCAGTGATTCTTTAAGAAGAGTGTGCAGTGAAGTCACAAGCCAAAGTGAAATACAAGGTAATTGCTTTTTTGATTGAAATATAAATGATGTGCAGGTTACACATTTCTTTCTGGAATAAAGCTGACAAAATCCTCTTTCTCCACACGCCTATGCTCATTAGTTGCTTTTTTACTGTACATTCAAGGGTTAAAGCCCAAGTTTCCATATCACACCACCTGTGATGGCCTCCACTAAAGCGCCTGTTCTCATGTTAATCTCTCAAGGTGTTTAAAGCAGTAGTGAGTGATGCAGCCTTTGTCTGTGCCGATACACACAGGCGGCGGCTTCGTCCAGTACCAGACCCTTCGAGGGGGTCATGGCAGATCAAAGGTGCTGGTCACAGCCATTAGGCCCGGCAGCCCAGACCCGACATGAAAAGCTTGTGTTTTGAAAAGGAAGGCAGAAGGAAAAAAACAACAGGGCCCTCTGCGTTTAAAAAGCAAGCAAACTGTGAAATAATTGAAAAGGTATGTCAATCAAGAGCAGGAGCACAGCGGGAACTCCGAGATTCCCAGGCTCCGCTCTGGTCGAGCACTGAGCCATGGAGGGCTGCTCAAGGGGACAACCCAAGAAATTAAAGACCTAGGAAAAGGAACATAAAGAAGACAGGAGGAACGGAGCAGAAAAACCTCCTTTTCTCACTCTCTCTTTGCTCAGTCTTTCACTCTTTTCTGCTTTAAATTTGTGATGAAAGGAACCATTTTGCCCCACTTTGTAGAGCCCCATTCAAATCGCTCGGTCATTAATAAGATCTTGTCTAGCTCTTCACCTCTCAGGTGAGTAACAAAGACTTATTCGGGGGAGCAGCCATTGCCCCCGCCACCGAATCCCCCATCTTATAACCAGCACCTTCACCCTGTACTCGCCCCCCTTACCCTCCTCCTCCCCTCCTCCTCCCCCATACCATGAGTCTGACAAAAGGGAACCCCGTGAGAGTGTCTCTCTCTTTCCTTTCTGCCTTTTTTTTCAAAGTCAGAAAAGGCTTGAATGATCTGACGTTGGGCTAACGTCCAAAAAATGGGGGACGGGGAGAAAAGAAAGAGTAAAAAAAGAGTGGGTAAAAGACTTTTTCTATGCTTTTAAAAATCCCATAGAGGAGAAATAAATGGCAAGTCCACAGTTGACTAGACACGTATAGTGCAGGATTTGCTTGTAATGGCAGCTTGAGCTTATTGACAGTCCCAGCCAAAACATGTCAAAGGTTAAGAGATCTTGCCAATTGCAAGTGGGAAGCCAAAGGAGCCTTTTTCATGAGCTCAATAGGGCCATCAGTTGATACTTGCTCAGCAGAACCGGAGCAGGAGCGACCTTCAGTTCCCAATGCAGCTCAGGAACAAATAATTAATTTGTCTCTATTGTTGGTCTAATTTCTTTCTAATTGTGATATTGGTCAAAAGGATTTGAAAAGAGTTCCTGATATTTTAATTGTCTCTAAACATAGTCAACTATTGCACTGAAAAAAGGATAATTGTATTTATGCAAACTGCTGATTTACATGAGACGATTATGTTACAAAACAGGGTTAATTAAAAAGAAGATTACCATAACTCTGCACTTAAACTTTGTTGAGAGGTTTGCAGGGGGGTAAAAATCAGCAAAAAAGGTTTAAAGATGTATTTATAACCTTAATAAATCAAATCTCTGACTGGCTTTTAAAAACACTCTTAAAGTAGATGTAACATTTTAAACTGAATCATCCTTACAGCATATTTATTCAAGTCCTGACGCTAAACTCAGCGTTTCCTTCCAGTAAAGTGACCTTTGCATTTCAGCAGTTAGGAAAACCCTAATAGCTTGAAATACCTCACTCTGATTTCTCAGGCTTTGAACACAATGGAGTGACTTTTCAAAGGGGGGACTGTGAGTTATATGGATCTAACTGGTCTTTATAGATGTGTGGTCAAGCGTCCAGAGCCCGAGTGATTCCTCTAGACAATGTCAAATCCCCATTTCATGTCCTCAGATCTTTTGTGTCTGCTGGCTGCTACACCAGCATGTACGAAGGAAATTATATGTAGGGTACCTGTGAGAGCGGAGGAGAGAAAGGACAATATTTCATGTGTTAAAAACACAAGTTTTGTTGAGGTGCTTTACACACTTCGCAATATGACTCCCCAAATTTAAACTTTCATTTATTTAAGACTATTCTCTAGTATTAAAGTGTTCTTTTACTAATTGTAATTCCTGAGTTTTAACTGACAACCCTTTGCAATGTCTCAGATGTGACAAACTTCCATGCAAAACACCTACTCTGCCTTGAACTCAAACCAGCAAATAATGGCAATTATTGCTGGCACCACTTTCAGGCACCAGCGATTTTCATTGGCCTGGACTAATCCCCCATAAATCCTTGCAGTGCTCCAATCACCAGCCGGGCCTCAGCTAATTGCTTATGAGTCCCTTGCACGCTCCAGGTGCCACCGTAGCACACCCGGTGTTTGTAAACACAGCTCGTAAAGAGGAAGCTGCCATCAAAGTGTTAATGTTTTCTCGGAGGATCAGAGGCTGTGCAGGAATGATGGGGGTGCAGCTGGTACCTGGTTGGACTCGAGTGAGGCATTCCCTCCTTCCCTGCAGCTGTGGCGAGCGCAGAGACGTAGCTACATTTACGCAATCCTGCCAGAGAAGAAAGACACTCAACAGGAGTTTGTGTTTGTTTACCTTCCTCGTCTCTCTTCCTTTTTACTCTTTGTACTTGTCTGTGTCTGTGCCTTAAGTAGATGACCTCACTTGCAAAGCACGACTGGTGATGTTCAGAGCTGAACAAAGTTTGAGATAGTTGCGTGTTAAGAGTGATGGGCGCAGCAGATGTGTGTTTTGAAGTTTTGAAGCCCTTGAGATGTGCTCTTTGAAACCAGAAACAATAGTCTGATAGTATTAGCAGCCGTCCTGAATAGCAGGTTAGTAGTGTCCTTATCGGCATCAAAATATGAGATAATGCGTTTAATACCGCTGTCATCTGAACAATATAAGTTGTCACGAGGTTTGAAAGGATGTTTTGAATACTCACATGCTCAACATCTGTTTACGTTTAAGTGAAAAAGACCTGGCTTTAGTTTTGGAGATGGGAGCAAATAGGGAAAGGTGACATAATAGAAGTGAAGAGAGGTTTGCGTGAATGAAAAGGTCAACGAAACTGATGTTTCCTTCCTATTATCAACAAATAGTCAACCTCAACCAGTGTTTATTATTTTAACCATCATGATGAAGCTCCCGTAAGCTTACTAAAAATGACTAGTCTTTAACCCAAACCATGATCTTTGCCTCGACCTTAACAAACCTTGGCCATAGTTTTGTCACATCATAAAACAGAGAACAGACAGTTCTGGCGGGCACAGACTAATGATGTCATTTTGCCAAAAGGGACGTAAAATCAGAAAATACTTCTCCGTATGTGATGTTCCAGAGGGCATAGACAAAGTAGGTGATGCTTGTTGTTTAATTTGGAGGACTTGTTGGGTATTAAGATGCCCTTGCCTGCCCTTTAAAGCCTGTACTAAAACAAATATTCAGCTCACTTTTTCATACAAAAACATATTAAATCAAGCTTTTGCGCCAAGTTCAGCTTTACGGTTCTTTCCAAACTAAATCTGGACTTTCACGAATAAATCAGTAGGAAAAAAATGCAGTACAGGGAGAGAAGCACCTGCAAAACCCCTGGTGTGATGTTTATTTTTCAATGCTAAATGGGTTTTTACCAGCGAGACTGTTCAGGAACTCAGTCACGGCCCTGCAGAATACTTGTGGTTGTTCTGAAGCTGCTGGGGGTTTTCATGACTCCTACATTTCCTACCAGCTTGGGATCCCCCTGTACTTCAGCACCTTGATCTGGTGCTATGTTTACAGCATTTATCCAAAGCCAACAATCCATTTTTGACAAATATAATACAGTTCTTAACCTTTAAGCAGCAACGTTACATGCATTTGTTACACAGACTTGGTTTCCAGGGGGTGTGAAAGGAAGATTTCGTGCTCTGATCAGATAACAAACCACATCAGGGCGCTTTTAAAGGTCTAAGTGGGCAAATAAACCAAGAAAATCTATAAATATCATCTAAAAGAGAGTTTCATCTCCAGCAATCAGCTGCTATTCAGAACCCCTCAGCTCATCTCCAAAACATCTCCCTGGCGTAACTATGACAAAGGGTGTGTGCCTTTATTTCCTTTAAGGAGACAAAAAGGAGATCAAGAGTAAGCCGCATGGGACTTGTTTGCAATCAGTGCCCAGAGGAAACATTTAGCTCAAAGCTTTGCCGGCTTGTTCATGGGGTGAAGTGAGTTAGAGTGGCTGCTTAAGTGGCCAGCAGACATGGGTTTTGTGTCGCTCAGTAAACAACACTGGGCATTATCTGGGTGGGGTGTCACATCTGGAGTTGAGAGGCTCAAATGGAGACAAGCAGGGAGGGGGGCATGACGCTGTGCAGCATCAGACACTGTGTATGTGTTGTTCAAATGTTATGTGGATCAGGATGTGGCTTAGGGTGCAATGGTTAACTTGCTCGATTTCTCTGACATAATAATAATTTTGTTTTCTGATATGATCATTTCTTAACCTGTTGTTCAAAATGCTCTGAGACAGACAGGTCTTTTCACAAAGACAGCTCCCTCGGGCCATTGTGCATGTCTATGTGTGTGTTTTTTTGTTCTGTCTTGGGCTCTCTGCCCTCAAAGCATATGGCTGTCTGGTATCCTAATCGCTAATGATAGACTGGCTTTTGATGGGGAAACTCCCACAGCTAGATGTTTCTAACCCAGCCTCTCCTGTCCCTTCTTTTTATTTTCCAGGCCTGATGGAAATCCGATCTGTCAGTGTGGGAGTTGTTGCCATCAAATCTGTCAGCACCGGGCTGTACTTAGCTATGTCCAAGAAAGGCACGCTCTTTGGATCGGTGCGTATACAACCTGGCAACATTGTCTCTCTGGGTCAAGATGGGAGGGCTGGGAAGAGAGGGGAAGGGGGGTATACATGTATAGGGGTCTCAGATGAGTGCCTATACGCAAACATGTTTGATTCTGCTGAAGTGAAGGGAATCCCATGCCGGAAAGTCCAGATAGAGGTTAAAGTGTTACAATCAATCATGGTTGTACACCTGGGCTACAGTTGATGATACCTGCAGCTTTAGTTGGCTTGTTTCACTGTCAAAATAAATAGCAGAGAAAAAGTCACCCAACCTGCAATGACAAAGAGCCAGCTGGGATCCTTTAAAAGTCTTCGCGTGCCATCTGCCAATTGTTGTTGCACACAGCAAGCTTTCAAAAGTAATCACCTCTCTTTGTTAAAATCGGCCACACATCAGACCTGAGGTGTGTGGTGTCTAGCTCATGTATTTACATCTTGGAGAAGGAGGAATCAGGCACAAGCAATCAGTCAGCAGCAGTGATAAGAGAAGTGTTTTCAACAGGCTGAAACAGTAAATAAGACATCTTAAGATCCAGGTCTGAAACATCCCATAATAATAAAAAGGCAGGTGAATCACGCCAAGCTCATACTATCCTGATGCTATCACAAACAGGGCCTCATTATAGCAGCAAGATAGCGATCTGGAAAAGGGAATGCAGCAGAATCTCTTGTCACTACAATAGCTTTCAATACTCTTTGACGAACTGATACAAAGCGGTAACCACCCATGAAAAAGTGACTTTTCCGACCTTCACATAAATCAGCTTATTTTAAACAAAACTCAGAACTTGAAATACAAACTCAACAGAAAAGAGATACAGTTATTTTAATAGAACTTAACTTTTAATTAACAAGTTTATTCTTTTTTTTTTTTTTTTTCGTTCCCCCAATTATTCCCAATGTTTGTTTTTTTGTGGTATTATGAGGTATGTTTGGGTTTTTAAACTTTAAAGAGTGTCAGTAACAACGTCCCAGTAACTCAGGATATTTAACAGACTCATTATGATCAGTTTCAGTCAGTGATTACTTTTCAGAGAGCAGTCCCAATGAAAACTAAACTGTAGGGCCTGTAGAGTATTGCGAGTAACCAGAACATTGTTTCTGGAAATTGCATTTGATTCTTCAATGCTTGGAACAGCACAAACAAAATTCCCCTGTCATAAACTATTTAGGGGGTCAATGGAAAATACATTTCAGAGATGGATCATAACCCCGAAACTATCTGCAAGGCTAGACATAAAAAATGTTTTCATGCAATTTGAATGAACCAACCCTTTAAAATTCTAGACAAAAGACTTCTATTGCGGCCTCTAAAAGACACATTGTTGATGTAAAAACTCTATCAAGCCCTGGGAAATCTTTCACTGAAACAACAGTGCACTACACTATGGAATCTGGTTTACTGTAGCACTACAGGACTATCAGTCACCTATTTAAGCATCTGTCATAACCTTTTTAACCCGTCTGTCTCCCTATGATCAGGTGAAGTACAACCCAAGCTGCAAGTTCAAGGAGCGTATAGAGGAGAACGGGTACAACACGTACGCCTCGCTCCGCTGGAAGCACGGCGGCAGGCAGATGTTTGTTTCGCTGAACGGGCGTGGGAAGCCTCGGCGAGGTCACAAGGCTCGACGAAGACATCCGTCCACTCACTTCCTGCCCATGCTCCCCTCTTAGCTGTCCACCTCTGAACTCTGACCAGCAAATGGCTGACTCACACTAGTGTTGATAAAGCCATGACGGCCATCTTTATTTGTATTACTCCATCCTCCTGTCACATAAATGTACATTTGTTAAGGGTTGTAACATTTGTAGAGTTAGAATAATATGTACTTTTAAGTTATTTTCTCAATTTTCTAATGATGTTCAGCTATAGAGTGAATACACAGTATGTCTACTACTTCCGGGCATCTGTCTGGTTACAGTATCAGTCTGACTGCATGTAAAGTGATGGGTAAGGATTGTAAAGGGACAGCAAGGCGTGGAAAAAATCAAATGCGACTCACTGGTTTATCATTTAACCCATTTTAGATGCTCAGCTAAATAAGCATCTGGTTCAACAAAAATATATTTTTATTTCGACTATCCCTTTAAAGCAACAAAAGGTGCAACTTTGAAGTAGCTACAAATCAGGGCCATAGCTACTGCTGGGATGGGGTCAAACTCTACAATTACATTTTTACAATGTGTCATTTTAAACACATTTCTCATATTTAACATATTCTGACTACAAACATGTGAGAAATTCACATATTAATTGACTTTTCAATGTCTCACATGTGAAATCTAACATATAAATAAAGACATTGGAGATGTATTGCACTATATCACCAACAAATTCAAGCTGTATATTGTTAATCACATGTATAAACAGTATTCCAATAATCAATATAGCAAGCAAGTAATTTTTTGATCTGCTATCTGACTACTTTTAGGCCATTGAAATTGAAGAAATAAATAAACAACATTTCCCTACCAAAATTACATTAATGTGGAGTAAAGCTGTGAAGAGTTATTCAACAAAAAAAGAGATTTACAAATAATGAATGAGCATTTCTTAAAATCTTGGCTATGGCCCTACTACAAATCTTACATCTTGACTGTTGTTTGGGATATACTGTACTGAAACGACTGGATAAGAGATGCTGACGCATTGATAAAAGAACTGTTCTGGAGAACACAACAGAAGCTACGCTAACTACTGGGATAACATGCTGAACTTTCCGAGATGAACCTTGTATGTTTGTGCATGTTTCTGTCAAACTGCTTCACCCATTCAAATAACCAACAGTTAATAGAGGAGGAGTCAGTATCAGAAAGATGCTTAGTCTCTGACGGTTGGTCCTTCGTTCAGTTGTGAAATAACGATGTACATTTTGAGTCATGTAATGCATTATAGCAGCCATAGGTTAAGCAGACGTCACATAGAAGCAGCTTCATTAATTTTGTAGTAAATGGTAATTACAAACTGTCTCCCTCTCAAGTCTTGCTAACATTTTCTCAACAAGGCTGTTGCTAATAGATCATTTAATATATTTAAAACATTTTGTACTCTTTAACTGTTTGAAGTTGATGTATATTGTTATTGTCAACGTTTTGTGTTGGATTGTAGTCCTATTGAAAAAAAAGAATGGGAAAAAAGTTATCGTATTAATGTCCATATTCAGCTCATTTTGTATGGTATTACTACTGGATATCGCTACATTTGTGATCCACTTATAATAAACAGCTTACAGCTATAGGCCAGTAATAGTAGGTTGTATAGTTTCCGAACAAACAGTCTTTAGGTTTATTTCAGAAAAGTAAAATCATTTGAGTGCCTTGGGTAAACTTCAATAAAACATGTGGATAAATCATGAGTCATGGTTCCAGTGTACCAGCAAGTCTTTTTAAAATCGTCTCTCTAAATTATAAAGTGCAGAAATGGCATTTTAATCTTATTGCCTGCGTGGCAATGATTGTTGAGCGTTGCTAACATCTCCATTAGAGCTCCCCAACATAATCCCACTCCTCATCATAATCATGACAAAACTCGCAGCAGGAGAGGCGTTGATGTGGAGGACCTCCCCGTGTCTGATGAAAGCTCCGCGGTTATGAACTATGCACCCGAGCATCAAGGTCATTTACACACAGACGAGCCCCACAGTGGCACAGGAGGCCACTTGGTCCTTTCAGTGAGCAGAAAGGGAGTCGGGGATGAATAGTGGCTGTTTGGGGTGAATAAAGGCCAACCTTTCAGCCTGTCATAATGCGAGATTACTGTGACGGGGTACATGTCTGGTCAAAATGGCGTGAAGTCACACTGTAGTTCAGAACCAAAGGTCTGGGGGCAGCATACAAATATCAGAATGGGGGGTCTGGCTGTATGGTTGCCATGCAAATGTCTTTGTCTTCAGCTGTGTAGCCTCGAGGGATTTTACATTTTGAAAAGTAAAGACTAGTCCTTTTGTAAATATTCCTTTTGTTGCTGTTGTATCTTAAGTGTAAAATACAATGTAATGTAAAAGTTTGGCATTTTGGAAATATGCTTATTAGCTTACTTGCCCAGAGTTAGGTCAGAAGATCAATACCAACTTTTATGTCTGCACGCTATATATAAAACTGCAGCTATCAGTGGGTTAACTTAGCTTAGCAGACAGACAGGAAGTAGGTGCCGGACCACATTTCACAAAATCAGCCAACCAATAACTGTAGAGCTAATAATTAAAGCACACCTTGCTTGTTTCACATGTACAAATGTCAAATCAAAGTATAAGAAATAGCCCACCATGAAACAGTCTTATTGCTACAACAGACAACATCTATATATTATCGTTTTTGCTCTCTTGTTGTAAGAGAATAATATAGCTGTACAAAATACAGTACAGTACAGGTTTGTAGGTGTCTCTGAACATATGATCGTTATCCAACCTTCAGCTGGAGTAGACACACTCAAACATGCACGCCTGAAGTAATCCCATTTTCTGCCTGTTCTGTCGATTGACTCGCCTCTTTGTCAGAGTGTCCTCCATCTTTTCTCCTCTCCTTATCCTCTCTCCTTTTTTAACTGTCCAAGATCTCTCCTTTCTTCTTGGCCTGAGGGTGCGACTGCCGGTTGGTGCCAGGTCCAGGGACACCAAATGGGAGCTGTAATTAGCATTGCTCCACCACTGTCCTGTCAGTTTGCTCGCCAGCAAAACGAGAGGGATCCTTTGGAAGTCCTGATCAAAAGCTTTGGCCTTTGATCATGAGGCGAAAGGAAAAACCTAAACACTGTGCAAAATCAATGAGGAATGTCCCAAAAAGAGCCCAGGAGAATAGAAATGACAGCCATCTAGAAGACATCCTCAGCTCCTGGTCGGCCATGATGTGTTGATGTCAGGAGCACAGGTGTTTGCATTATGTTTGATGTGATCGGTGTGAGTGGAGGAGTGAGAGAGTGAGTCATGCAATGATGTTGTCTCTTCACTGTCTGTCAGAAAGCACCTGGTAGGCACGTCATATCTTTATGTTTCTGCTAAGGCCTCAAATCTTTCTGGAAATGTCGGCCCTCTTAAAACATGACACAGTGCAGCACATCTTCACAGCAGCACAGGCAAGAACACATTACTTGATTGAAGGTATACCTCATGACCCAATAAAAGCAGTCTGTAAAGAGAAGATTACATTGACTACTTCAAAATTAATTTGTATCTGAGTGACAGAAAAAAGTAATAATAGAAGCCCATTTTGAGGGCCTTAGCCAAAATCTACAGGGGCACAAGTCATGCTGCTTCAGCGACAACAAACCACAGCCTCTGGAACCTTTGAAACCCTGTGTGGTCATTTTCTCTCACAGCGACTGAAAAGAACTGTGGTGGGTGGGAAAGAAAAAAGAGCCCCTCGCCACTCATAATACCAATCTTATGTATGTAGACGAAAATGGAAGGGATGGGAGGGGTTGTGGGGTGGCAGACGGACTAAGGCACAATTTTAAAGCGCTTATTGAATTGCCATTACAGCTCCTGAGACTAATTGTGGCTGTTGTGTGTCTCTCAGTGGCCTAGGGGGCTCTGGAGTGGCCCTGTATGCTCTTACTCAGTGGGGTTTTCAGACCGAGTGGCCCTGAAAGAGAACAGGACCACCGTAGATCAATGGCAAACCTTTCACTCTTTCACAGGCCCTCGCTAATCCTTCTCATTTGTCTGCCATTTGTTGAGGCACATTCACAGCTCCCTGAATTTAGGATTAGGCCTTGTTTTGTTACAAAAACAGCCAAGTTATAATGCTGAATAGCTGGACTAAAGGGTGGACGACAGATGAGTGTGTATGTAAGTTTGTGAGCATGTGTGTGTATGGTTATCAGGTATACGCTGTTATAACCAAATTGAAGATAATACCGAACCTATTTCGAGTTTTCTGGTAAATCCCATTTTAATGATCTAAAATTATAGTTCCTTTTTTTCATTTGCGAAAAATTTGTCCAATGATCATGGCAAATTCTATCTAAAACATTATATAATCCTTTTGAACAATGCATTGATTAGTGTGAAACAATATTTAACCTTATCATTTTGTCTCTATGTGGTTATCGACATGAACTTTGATTGATTGACAATGACCAACCTTTTGGGCATGGTACCTTGTGTTCAGACAGAATACAATATGAATGTTAGAGCTAAATTGCATTACAGGGCATTCAAAAGGTGCAGGTGTGTAGAAATAAGCACATATTTGACTATAGGGTTATGAGGGGGGACAGTAGTTGTCTCAAGTTGAATATATTTCATCTTGATTAAAAAAACTATCCTGGGGCATTATGAAAGATATAGAGGGAAATTACAGAAGAAAATCAGGATTTTAAATGTTACAGTTGTAGTTTAATGGCTGTTTGGGGTGTATACATTATGGACAAGAGAAAAGCTCCAGTGGTCCAATTTGTGCAAGTGACATGGCAACAAAATCGTCTGCCACGTTATGTTTGCTTTTTCTTTTTTTAATTAACAGTAGGGATGATGTCATCAATATCTGTGGTATCACTTAAAGTTGAGCTCCATGGGGAAATTCAGTGGTTAAAACAGCAACAGAGTGAGAAGGAAAAACAGGACAGTACAGATTCACACAAATTATAATAATAATACAAATACAAAAAAATACAAAAATTAAAATTGTGTATTAACTGTTAAAACAAATGCAGGTCTTCTTACAGTTCATCATGCTGTCCTTTCATATGTCCTCTACTTCATGTGAGTTCACTGTCCTATTTCATTTTGACAATAAATATTTCATAAGAAAGAGGAAAAGCAAGAACAAATTGATTCACCACTGTCAAATACCTGCAAAGGAAATGCTATTTTATTAAAGCTGCAATGATTCCCTTTGAAGAACACTGGGCTCTGTCTGAAACGGAGAGTGGGCTCGGACAGTCTTGGCAGCCTGTAGCAGAGCCTTCAGACTGCTGCTCATCACTGAGTGGATTAGTGTTCCTGTCTGAAGCCACTTACTGGACATTAGGCAGGGCTGCTGAGTGGCACATGCGCCACATTTCCCCTAAAGCCTTGCCATGCCACGCCGCAGGTATGTGGGGCCGACCGGCCAAACCCCATGTCGGGCATTCTCCGGATGCCTGCCGCGTGCCAGACACCGGGGGACAAGGTGAAGAGGAGGACGGAAGGATGATTGTTTGAAGCAGAACGAGAGGAAAAGTTAAACAAAAGTGTAAACTCCAGCATAGAAATGTAGTTACAAAAGAGCCAAAATGCAACTATTTGCTTTCTGCAGGGTGAGATGAGAAGATTGATACCAATCTCACGTTAGCAAGCTACAGCCAGTAGACATGTAGCTTAGCTTGGCTTAGCATAAAGTCTGGAAACAGGAACAAACAGCTAGCCTGGCTGCTCTGTGCAAAGGTAACAAGTATACCCACAAGCACTTACCAAAATCACTAAGTAAGTAAGACTGTATATAAATTAAATTACATTTCTCAAGGTAATAACGACAAGTTGCCTGACAGGAGGTTTTGTGCTAAAACAATTTTTGAAATGCAGCAGTAACATTGTCACCGCGAGTTTGCCAAATAACCAGTAAAGTCAAACCAAATGTGTACTAATGTTATCATTAGTGAGCTCTACAGATGCTGGTAAGTTTTTTTATTTAAAAACAAATAAAAACAGAAATAGAGAGATGTGTGCAAAACAGATCGAACGTCAGTATTACTTATTACCATGTAGCTCTAGCTAGTGGCTGTGATGCTAATATCAACATTTTTGGAACTTTTGCAGACAAGAATATAATGGACAATCCACACGTGCAACTAGTAAACTGTCAAAATATAGGAATATGACCTAAAAGAATACAAGAAAAATAAAATCCAAGAATATAGGAAGATTACTGAAAAGTCTGTAGTAGACTTAAGGGGCACACACCATCTCCTATATGTTTTGGCAAGCCACATGTTGGCCGATGTCCCAGTCAACATCATGAGGTTGTCTTTGGCTGTTAGTGACTGGAAAAGACCAAAGTCAGTGCCGCTTCATGCAAAGTTTAAGCCCATCCAACCTGCCCCTCAAGCCCCACTATGTGAAGTAATTCTTCAAGCCAGTGGAACTAGACATGCTCTGTGTTCTGTCACTGTATGCATGGTGATTTCTCAACACTGCACTTTTCAAAATCAAAACATTAACAGGTTGATGTTCTTTCATAACGAGGACAAAATACGCTTTATTTTTTCCGTTAGGAGATTTGAAATAAAGCAGGGGAGAAAGTTATTATTGGATTAAAACATGTGGGCTGTATCAGACAATTAGTATTTCCTCTGTACTGTACTGTCAACTTGTAGGAGCAATACGCTAACGTTGTATGGAAAACTGGAGGCTAGATCC